GACCATGACAATTTGTCAACCATAGATTAGAAAATGCGCGTTTTCATGTGACTTAGTTCAAGATTAAGATTTTTCATACCTGTAACCCGTAGAGACTCACCTAAATCTTTTCGCACTTTGTTTGATTTCAAGTACATACTAAGAAGCATAGAATTGATTGCGCTGATTATGAATATTATCTTGGTTTTTGTCTAAACTGTTTCAATAGATAAGGACCTAAAATGTTTAAGATATTGAGCTTCAGTGAATAAGCACGATATTCTTGATTTCTGATCAGCTAGTGACCTTATATGTCTATCTATCTCTATATATTGCTGAGTTTTAATATTCTACTTCAGACAAAAGTTGTACACGGAAATGAACAATTGTTTGGGAAAAAAGTGGATCAGTGCAGGTAACCTGTGGATGACTTTTGATTGGTATCTATATCTTCAGGTCTATTGCTATTCGTAATAGCTTCCCATTGGCCACACAGAGGGATTTTTATAAAATGAAACTACAGAATTTCGAACTGAAATATCACCGATAGATAATCGTAGCTAGTATTAGTAATATCTGAGTTTCAAAAAACGGCTAATGTCGCTTCAAGATTTATTGCATTTTACAACTTAATTCAACAAATCGGTTCTTTGTACAGCGTGCGACATAACTTGTAATTTAAATGACTTCTCAAGAGCTGACCTATTTTTGCTAAACTTCTAAGTTCTTCTAATACCCCACGGAGCTGTCGATGGACGAAAGTTCAGTTCCAAATTCATTAATGTCTTTTCTTCGAAAATCTCTGTTTTTAAGTCAAATAAAACCCCATTATGTTACACTGTCATACTCGATGAGTGTGTTATGTATACCGACTGTGTACAATGTTAACATACACTCACCCAATGTCATAAGGTGACATAGACAATACAAAGAAAACAGCTTGTAACCAGTACGTCTTTAGCATAGATATTGTTTTAGTTTTTGTCTTATTCTCATTGAGATATGATTCAAATAATGATAGAAAATCATAAATGATAAGTCAATTCAAGGATTTCCTCGCCAATCAATTATATTAGAAACGATTAGAACACTGGACCAAAAAATGAATCAGTCATCGGACGCACCTTATCAATGCACTTTTCCAATTAATCTAACACAATTGAAGCACGGACAAAATAATATGTAGTTCTTTGTAACTGAGCTTATTTCAGCTATTGGACTCAGTTCAATTGAAATTTAGATTCAAATCTAATTCCAGCCTCAAAAGTGCCAATATCTGTTTTTAACTTGGGCTACCCTCAAGTCATCCCATCTCACGTAAAAATGTCGCATTCAATTGGGTTGTTTTCTTCGCTATCCAACAAATATTTAGTGCAATATCTAGATATCTTCCAGGGTGGAATCAACAAATAGTTTTACGGGACCTTGATCAGGATCAAAAATATCGGTTTCGTACATCCCTACCTGTGGCCTATTACAGACATGAACGTTATAATAGAATCTAGTGTACTAAAAAAGCGTTTTTTTTTTATTAGAGACTACTCAGATCATTCATCTGTAGAACTTGACCAGATTATCATAGCGACATGAGCTTTACTCGTTTTATCCATGTTGACACAAAATTCTACTCTAAATTAATTTAGTGATCAGATAAACAATGGTCAATAATGCAACGAAATATGTCCTTATCGGTGCTGGTATTGCAACTGTTTCAATTGTATCCATTGCTTTGCTCTCATTTCCCTTCGCTGTGGGAATATCATCAGCTGCTATTGGCCATATCTATCTACAAGAGTGTCCGATCGAACCGCGAATACCAATCTTTTTGATTGTTTGTGGATACGTGACCTTACTTGCCTGCATTTTGGCCCTATGCAGTTTCATCTTTAGTCGTTGTTCAAGTGATCCAATAGAATATCAGAAGTCCATTATTAATATTCTTATGGCTGTCTTTATCAATTTACTCGTTATTGTACGTACAATTTTTTACTTCATAGGCGCTGTTTGGTGGCTGCAAGTTCGTTTAAATATAGTCACCTCTAAGACGGAAAACGGTCATGAAACTCAGTTCTATTGCCATTGGGCTGCTTATCTGAATTTTCAAATTTTGGTGTTTTTCGGCATCTGCTTCGTTTTGCTTAGCTGCTGTGTGAAATATTGCTATGCATTTGTGAAGGACGACCTTGAATAACAATATAAATGACACAAGTATTTCGTAGTTTTTTGTTTGACTTCTACTTCTATTTCTAATTCTTTTAAAAAATGAAATATTATTAATCTTATAATTCATCTTAAAAGGTTGGAAAAATCTGGTTATAATCAACTTTTTTGTAATTAAAAACCTGTTGTTATGGCACTATTATAATCGTAGTTTAGTCCCAGTTTTCATTGAAAAAATTAGTTATATTGGGTTATTTAATAATATCGATTTTGTTTTCAAGGAAAAAATAAGTAAACTGCGTTTATAATAATGACATTAAAATAGATTTCTAATCACACCCTCAAGATAGAGTTTGCAAAATTAAGGTCAATTCCAGTTCGAGTTGGATTAGGGTGAGGTATCTGTACTGGTGTGTGGATTCAGAGAACATCCACACTCAGTTCTACCTAAACCATCATTCATATCTTCTCATTTCATTCATCTGATCAATAATACTTTTGGCAGCCAGGACAAAGGTTCGCAAATATTATGTGAGAATGACACCTCGGTTGTAGTTGATTAGTCGCATCCATTTCATATGGCTTTTATTAAACTTCCCGTGTTCCAGTATTACTTAATTATTAGTCAAAACATCTATCATCAGTCATCAGTTATTGTTCAAGCAATCAATCCATTAAATCGCTATAGATCTATCAATCAACTGTTTCATGAAAACATGATCCATATGCATCTTGTGCAACGCATTATACATTATCATCTACGTCAAAATCGTCCATTAAATGTGTCGTGCTTTTATGATGATGTTCAGGTGTGTTTATGCCAGAACGATTATGACTAACGTGGGTGCGGGCGTAAGTGTGACTCTTTTCTTCATCCCCGAGTCCACACCCACCCTATATTTATGCGCTTCGAAGTATCTTTTGTTTAGATGATAGCTCTAATCTTTTTCTACAAAATTATATATTTCGATCATTTAATTTTATATAATTTTACCACAGATAACATCAACTAATTGAAACAATTCAAAAATTTTGAAGACTTTTTACTCGTTTGTCCCAGTTGTTACAGCGATCATAGGATGAGCCGGCATGTCTAGATTTCTGATCATAACAGAATTACAACATGAATTTTACCAGTTCAATAAAAAATTGAAAACATTATATGAGTGCATGTCTGAGGTCTGATGAAGTAAGAATATATAATCAAAATTGATTGTAACCTGTACACTCTTGAAAAATGAGGACCAGAAAATAACTCCTTGTGTTTTACAAGCAAGATGAGACATCTTACAGTTGATATAAAGATTTCACGTATTTGTTTTTATTCCTCCCCAAAGAATAGCACAATTCGACAAAGAAATTCATGAAGATCGAGCTTTATTTTATACTACTTTCTTACGGTAAAACAATGTATCGTGAATAATATTAAAAATAATGCGAAATTGGTTCAATGACTCGTCTGCAAAATGAATTACTAATCAAGATTTTTGCAGAATCATCTATTGTTTGTTGTTGTTACAAGAAAATGATTTCCTGTTTTAATATTAAATATAAAATAAAATAAAATTTTTGATAAAGGAAAATATTTATCTTGTAATAATTTATATCATTTTCTGACATTTGTTAAACAAATAACATCCTAATCATCTTAAATATCTCGTATTTATTAGATATGAAAGATTCTTTGATATAGAAAAGGACTGAAGTCGTAGGTGAATCAAATTGAACAATCTATTGTATATGATCACGTATTGCATCTCATTCATATAGATGAGTATGCGACATATTCATTGTTCTCTCTCTGTAGTATTACTTCGACGACTATTATCGTCAGATGAACATTTCTCGCTTTTCATTATGACATAAATAGTTGTGCTACGAATTATTTTTCTATTCACACTCAATATGAGTAAACAACGGTTACTTCTTGAGCATTTATCTGTCAAACTCTTTTATCTTATTTTAGAATATCTTGCTCCTCATCATCTACTCTTCGCCTTCATAAATCTAAATCAACGATTCACAGCCATATCTGCTAAACAACCACTTTGTCTGCTAAATAATCGACCCATGAATTTTGATCTGTACTACGACTATATATTTACAATTATGGCCAAGCATATTTCACAAATCGTCTATCTTCATCTATCTGAACGATGTGCTCCGGATGCGGCCAACTTGTTTCTCAGAGAATTACCTTTTGGAAACACTTATTTAGCTAGCAATCAAAGCAGTTACTATCGAGGATGAGCCATGCCGTATATTGCGGTCACTACTGATTGACTCTTCACTTTTGTTCAATGTTCATTCGCTTTCAATCGAATATAGGTCATCATTGGTATCATCATTCTGAATACAATGAGTACTTTGATTTCGACATTGTCGTTCCCTTACTCAGCATCTTGCCTGAACTACGTTTACTCTATTTACGCATTGCCATTGCCATAGACAATGACTATGCTTCCGTATTTGATCAACACTGTTCTCCGGTGGCTATTCATCTCAATTTACACACACTCGTGATCGTTGAATGTTCGAGAGAGCTTTTCGCCGAGTTCCCAAACAATAGCTACTTGTCAAAGTTGCGTCGAGTGCGTGCCGCTCGCTCATGGTAAGCAATAAATACTCAAAAGAATATATTAAATCACCACATTTTATTGTTTTCAGCATACACAACGACGTAGGAATTGAGCTACCACCCTATTCGACACCATTAAAACAAGTCTCCCCCACACCACGGTCAACTAGAACAATTCAATACATCTGGATATGTAAAATTTACTCTAAATAGCAATTTTTCTCGAATAGCTGAACTGCCACGATGATTGGAATTAACTAAATTAAAAATATTTAAATTTTAAATGAAGCTGATTGCAGATTACAAACTTGGTGCTGAAGAAATAGGAGAACGTGTATTTGCGGAATATAGAGAAGCAACTGACGATGATTCATCAGCAAAATATGGACATATGAATATTGGTTATACAGCAATGTCATTCTCATATCGAATGGAGACAAGTAACACTGATTCACGAGATGAAGATAGCAACGAGGCGATTGAAGATAAACCAGTTGACGATAGTATTAAAGAAGTAAGACAAAAAAAATTCACTTTTCAAGAAGTACTTTTTCAGATGGAATTCTTCGATTTGGATTATTTAGAAGATAAACTTCTCGAATGTATTCAAGCAGTACCTCGTTGGTATTATTTGCGAAAAATACCTACCGAAGGCGATTATCCAGACGAAAAGTGAGTTTTCATAAAAATATAGATAGGATTTTTTTCAAATTTCTTTTTTTGATTAATTTAGTGATATGGTTGATGAAAATATTTCACATTTACGTCATGTTGCTGAGCGTTCACCATATTTTCGTGAACTTCATATTAATGCAGATCTTGATTTTGCTCGCGTTCTTTCATCAAATGTCGAACTTGGCATCTTACTTTCGTTTCAACTTGAAATACTTTATTTTACTGTAAAATAAGTTAATTGTTCGTATTGTTGATACATTGTTTTCCTATGTATCATCACCACGATTATTGAAACAGTTGACATTAAATACTGACAGGCATCCAAGTTCGTGACTGAGCCTAAATTTCTTATCATATATTCGTTGGATATACTTATATGGTTTTGATGACGACCTTAGAATTCTGAAATTTTAATGATATGTAATCAGCAAAATTTTTCACTGAACAGACGTGAATGCATATCGGTCTTGTGCTCAAGTTGTTATAGTTCAGTTTGTCCTTCCTTGTGTTGTGCTTTGGGCTCTTTGTCACCAATAGTTCGGCACTTCCTTGGTCAGAAACAACGACTAGATCATTGCTTCTCATTACATATCAATAGAATGCGTCAAGGTTTTCGTTGTCTTTCAAAATCATGTATGGTGTTATTCATTATCTGAAGCGATCGATCTCAATCGAAAAAAAGACAAAATGTATTATGTGAAAATTTATTTTGCATTTACTATACGATGCACGAAGAAAATAATAAAACAACATTTGATACGTTAAATCAGCAAAAGAAAAAAAAACGACATTATTGGAAAATATAGGCATACATCTACAACGAAATACGACACTATTAATCGCATATAAACTAAGATAGCAACTACGAGTTATAATATGAATACGCATTAAACTGTAATAAAACGTAATGATGTATTTTATCTATGATGAGAATCACACACAAATGACGATGAGACATCAAATCAGCAGCATATTTTATAACGGCTCTATAGTACGACACACGCACTGAATAAAATATTTTCTATCTTGTTTTGATGTTGGTATTTTATTAAATTAATTATTCGTCTTTCTTCAACTTCTAGATCATCTATCAAAACATGAAAACTTCCATTATTTTCATTGCTCTAATTGTTATTGCTTTTATCTCATCATCATCGGCTAAAGCAGAGATTCCAGCATGCATGCAAAAAATGATTGATGGTTTCAATGGTACACCTCGATTAAGTCCATATATTCGTATTGACAACTATTTGTATCGTGGCAAAATGACCTATTTGGCCACCAGCAGTTGTTGTGATCGATTCAACCCGCTTTATGATGGAGAATGCAATCGTATTTGTTCTCCTTCAGGTGGTTTCATAGGTCGTGGTGATGGTAAATGTGTGGACTTTGGTGAAACAGCAACGCAACTGGGAAATATTTGGGTGATTCCACGTGCTTAATCAGTTTTCATACTAAAGCTCTTGTCTTTGAAATAAAATAACATAATTCAATAATAGTGTACATTTTTTTTTCTAGCAAATGTTCTGTATTCTTGAACATCAGATTACAAATTCAAGATGAATTAAATTACGATATTATTTCGTTTGGATTCTGGTGAAGTTTTAGATGCGCTTGAGCTAATGTCTCGGCCAGGCATATCTTTCTCCAGTTTCTATTTTTGAAAATCGCAAGCTGATGTGTTCTCGAGTTTCGGGAAAATATATACACAACATCCGACAGAGAACGTGGATTTGCCTCCTTCATGATTCTACTACGTTTATAGTTTTCACAAAATCATACACTTTTCAAAAGATTCTAAAAATTTTCATTTGATAATAACAATGCTTTTCTCTGAGCAACGAGAGAAATGTCTATTGAAACGACGGTTTTTCTGGTCCGGTTCTACCGATTCCAGGGTCATTTCCGTCGAAAACAATCTGTAAAGTATATGGAAGATGAACGCAGTACTTCGATTATGTGAAAGAGAAACAAAATGATAAACAAGTGATGGATTATTGCCCGTCGCGTAGATAAAATTTAGGTTTGTTTTCTATATAGCTGAAAATAGAATCGAGCTGCAGTGTTGCTATTCTGTCATGTTGAAGTTCATCCACACTTATGAAGTTCTTTACACATCTCATTCTCCTGCTAGAAGGAGATATTAGATTAGTTTGAATAATAGTGTCATCGATTGACCAGCTAATACATCAATGCGAGAAAAAAAATGATTTTTTTACGAATTTTTCGCGTTAAATAACACTTTTATTACGAGTATGCCGATATAATATTCGAAATTTTTCTTCCCACAAAACTTGCTTATTAAGCGTGTATTTCATGAATGAAAGCCATTTTGATTAATAGTTTCTGGTTAAAATATCTTCACTTGTCATAATCGAAAAGACCTTACTGTAGTAGTATATGTTCGTTTATATCATGAGAAAAAAGCACAGCTAACTTACCGCTTTATCTCTATTTGAATATTATTCCTTACAAAAATATTTTCGTCTTCGTTCTACTATTTTCGACATGTTTGCAGAAATCGAGCAAACAGCCACTTTGAATCTTTAAGTTTTCTCTATTTTAGAGTTCATGAATTTTAACATATTTACAATTATTGTCTTCTTATTGTTGTTGGTTATTAGTAGGTTGTCATGCACTCGATCTGACAAAAGTACAACATATTGCATTTGTAAATGTTGTAACACTGATCCCGAATGTAAAATTCCATTTGTAGCCGAAAATTTATTTGAAATATATGTTGGTCAATGCAAGGCAGAATGTACAATGAACACATGTGCAAGAAGATTCTCTTATAAATGTGCGAATACATTGACAATAGGATATACAGAAACAAGCTGCTATACAAAATAGTAAAATTGCAATATATATTTTAAACATATATTTTTTTAGTTAACGGAGATCATACATGAAATTAGTAAAAACGGATTCAAACGCTGATGTTCTTTAAGAAAACAAAGAGGTTAATTCACGAATACTTTAAAATAATGAAGGTCGAGTTTAGTTTCCAAATTTTAAACCACTAGTGAATCAGAAGAAGATGTTTTTGCGATGATAATCGTGATTTTGTTTTGACAAATCAATCACTTGATAATAATTTTGCAGTTTAGTTCATATAAAGCAAAAATGTTTTTGGAAATAAAAATGATTTCATTCAATTTTCTTCTTTTTATTGCTTCTAATGCTTATGAAAATTATGATTTCAAAAAAATACAATATTATATTTTGATGATTTTAATCCACGGAAAGTCTAGCGATCATACTCTAATTTATGACCAGAGAAAAGTTTCGATAAAATAATCATCAAACGAAAAGTAATGAAACTCCTATTTCTACTTTATCGACGATCTTTAATGATCATCCAATAAATCATTAAAATAACATCTGATGCAAAATTAATGAGACAAAAGTTATCCACTTTTTCTCTTCGAAAGATAAGTGTTGGAAGAAAAATGTTTCTCTCTTTCGAACTCAGTTTTATTAGAGGTAATATCAAATAATATTGGTGATATAATTATAAAATTAAAATTATTCAATATTGATGCTACAAATTTAAACGAAATAATAACTATACTTGGTCAATTTCTAGTTAAATTTGCTAACAAGTATGCACAATTACTTGAAACAGCTGTCAAACGACTTGCAGAATCAAAAGAACAATAGAAAAATGAAATCGTGAAAATTAAACTGTTTAAAATTTTCTATCTCATCATCAGTTCAAATAAGAAAGAACAATTTTCAATAATATAAAACACTCATGATAATTTTCTCTCGTTCAACAAAAATAAATAAAATTTCTTTCGATAACCTTCAAATTTTTGGAGTCAATTAAAATGTTTGTAGTTTTCATCTAAAGATATTGTGAAAACTATCTAGATATGAAATAAATTTTTTTCATTATATCCAAATCGATTGCTAGAAGATTCTCAGATAATATATTGATTCAATTCGTTACATACATTTTCATCGGCAAAAATGTAACTTTCACGAAAGAAGATAAATGCTATGCATATAATTGCTGTTTTCATAGAAATATGTTGTGTGAATTGATGATGAAAGACGAAAAGTAATTATCTGATTCAAATTGAATTTATGCTATAGACGTTCCATATTCTTTTGTTATAAGTTGCGAAAAAAATATGATTAGTAATAGAGTTAAAGAATCGTCAATAATTCAATATAAAATAACAAACTCCTCAAACCTCTTCCGGCCGTTCTCGAAAAGCCCTATCAAAGATAAATAATAAAATATTGATTTCAGCTTTAGCAACACTACTTAGCTGAGATTTTATTATTAGCAAAACAAATTCTGTTTTCTCCTCATTGTTACATCAATAAGTTTAATACAATTGGCAAGAACGACGATTATGACTATGAATTTATTCATACTTGAGTATTCAATTTTCTTTCATTCCCTTTATATCAGTGTATCACACAATAAACTTCATCATATTTTTATAAAATAAATGCTTCTTTAATGTCTGAGACAAGCTTGTGTTATACTAATCATATTTTTGAATAAATTGAAGATATTATTTGTTTTTTTTGCTGAAAATATGATTTACTTTGATCTTCATACAAAACATTATAAAACGAGCTACATCATCCGACACTCTTTATTATTTTTCTTCCCAGGCAGACGTGACTTCTATAGAAACATGTTACAGCGCATAAAGTTTTCGTGAGTTAACGCATTTTCCTCTGTTTATTCAAAGCGGAGTATGGGTGTGGACGTTGATATTGATTTAACTCACAGTGATACTCACACCCTTTCCCTAATGTACACACTGTCGAATGATCTTCAGATCCTTATTTTACTAAAATATATTTTCAGGATATTCTTCATGATTGATTAGTATTGAAAACTGGTAGCTATCTTCCCACAATTATTTTTTTAAAAGTGAGGAATTGTTGAATTTCTTTTTATATGAGAGCAGTATATATTGAGATGCAAAAGTTTAGGATTTTTTTTTACGATAATTCTTTTTTGACATGCAGAACATTGGCAGACAATTCACCATTTGATTCAAAAGCGTTCTGAGATACAGGCCATTTCTTTTTTTGGTCGAACCTGAAATCAGTTCTTGTGTCATATTAACTTCGGCTTCATACATTATTTCAATGTGACTATTGGATATTGATTGATTGATATTTGTCATCATTTCAGAAGTCGGTTCCACATGATTGTTCGAGGTCGATAAATTCATATCCAACGTTGGCTCCAATACTCTTGCTTTTTGATTATTTAAAACAAGTTCAGTTTTATCCGTCGTCAATTCTGGAAGCGTTTCATTACAAATATTCTCTCGAACAACTAAGAAAATATTCTCATCCTTGCAAAGTTCTTCTATGCGTCGATCGAATTGAAGTCGTGCACTTCGTAGTTGCTCAAGAGTTTCAGTAACATTCATCGTACCCTTAATAATCTCGGTGATTTCCATACGACCAATGTTAAATGAAAAACAAATGAGTAAGGGATGGGCATCAATAGAAAATGAATCTAGTTCTTGAACTATTTCTTCACCAATGAACTGTTGTATTGTTTCTTTAAAGCTAAAATATATATGTTCGACAATTTGATTGAAACAATCGTAAAAAATGAACTATTATTTTCCAAAGAATTAAATTTCATTTAAAAAAATCAAACAGAAAACAACTGGTTTATATACGTGTGTCATGGCTCTGAAGAGAATTCCCTATCAAAATGTTTACCACATTTTTAACTTCAAATATTCGGTTTAACTACGTGCAATACTGACGTACGAACCGTTTTTGAAAACATATTGATATTCACAAATAATAACTTAAATAAATAAGTAATTTCAGATCTTGGGTATGGATGTTATTGTCGGTCTAGATGTCCGACAAGAGAAGACTAATATCCATACCCACGCTCATACTGACGGTTTACCGGGAAAAGCGCCGATTTACCGCGATAATGGGAGCCGGTAATGGGATCGGTAAAACCGGCGGCTCTTCTCCGGTTTTCATTACATGAGTAGCTAAATAAAAAAGTGATCAATAAATAAGTAACTTTGAAACTAACAAGTTACTGTTGTCTATTTTGGAATTCAGTGCAGCTAGTTGTAAACTGAGTAACATTAGAAGCATGCGGTTCTATATACAAGATAGATACGGATATTGTTTATTCGAATTTGATTGGTCAACGATTGATCAATAAGGTAAGTTTTCGCTCAACACTTTGTTCAGTACCTAGTGAAGAAATATTTATTTGTACTTGGGGCTCCATTCTACCGGTTCGGTAGAAAAAATTATTTTTTATTGATCTACCTAAAGGTGAGATCTGTAGTTTTCGCTGCTGAAACGCTATATATATGTTTTTCATATAGGGCTCTGGTTTCAATTAGTTAACATTGGAATAATCCAAAAACTGTCGAAATATAGGTAATCGACTATATTGAAGCAAATAGCAATGTTTGTTTTTACGTAACTGTGAAGCGCTTGAAATAGTTCAGTTGCAAATATCTAGAAAGTCCACATTAAAATACTCGAACGTTATGCAAGTTTTGAAACAATATTTGAAAACTTTTCAGTCAGATTATTTCAATTACTTTGAAACTGAATACAAACACCACCTATTATCTTAGCACAGCCGATCAATTATCTTTTAATAGTTTCTAAATTGATTGAATATCGATTAAGCGTCGTCATGGATCTCGAAAAAACACCGACAGCTCTTCAACAACGAAAACAACAGAATTCTATTTCGGATAGATCAATCCAGAACCATTTTCTCAATCGAAAAGTTATATTGAAGTTTCAAGTACAGAGGAAAATTTTTCCTACAGGTGCTGAACAGAATGTTAAGTAAAAACTAGTGAACTTTGCAAATTGTTGAGTAATCAGATAGGAATAAACAATATTGACATCTGTGTTATAATTGAAACCGTAGATCTATATGTGCTTTCGTTGTGGAGTTATTCAGTTTACAAACCGACTACAATGATATCTAAAACGGAGAATAGTAAAGTAAATGTGGAGTAACACAACTAGTGAATACCGAGTAGATGCCTACACGCGCATTCATAATAAGAACTCTAACGAAACTTGAGAAGCTCAACAGATAGTGTTTGCGTATGTGGGTAATAGCAGAAGTGGCACACCAACTCGCATCAATCCATTGCCAATTCAACTATCGCATATCTCTGAAAATTGGGTATCTTTGAAAAAGCAAATAATTTAATGTTTGTTTTGATCAAGTCAATTAAATTCTACCTACGAATTAAAATCGTTCTTATTTGTTCGATCATAACCCCATAAGATGAATTTTTGATTTAAATAATTGATAATTTTGTTGTCACCAAGAACATTCGTACAAAATATATTTGTAGCGATACTTTCATGATGGTGAAGATACATAACTATAGGGCATGACTATAAATTAGAATGCTTCACTATAGCATTTACTAAATATTTTCAAAACTCCAAACATACATGTTCATTATTGAATAATGATTTTGTCAAAGCTTCTTCAAAGCTACTAATATAAATATTGAGTTCAGAATTGTCATAAATGTCATTGAGTATATGTAGTATTCTATCAAATATTCCAAACCGTGCAACTATCAAATCATATTCTTCTTTGAGGAACCGACCGTCTATAAATAGTTTGTATTATCATGAAGAACATAATCATTTTAGATATTGTTCACAAGAATATTTACTTACGAGGATACCGTATTACTCGCTCAAGTTTATTCGCATTATGTTTATTGTCAATCATATCTAAGCCAAAAAAATTGTTGTGACTTGTATCTATCTAATGGATACAACAAAGTGAAATGTTTGTAAGTGAAAGAGTTTGTCATACTTGATTTTTGTCGTCATCTTGAACTATATCAAATTGTTTTTGGTTGGACATGACAATCAACTGAATTTTATCTGTTGATTATTATTGTCTTGATGATTTCGTATCCGTTAATCTACAAGACAATCGGTGTAGAGTGACTTAAAATAGTTGCTGTTTTCTTATGTTAATGTTTTCCTCCAACTCAGTGTGCAAGCTGGAAAAACCCTACTTGTGTCAAGTTTTGCGCACTCTGTTTATTTTGCGACATGCAACGTGTACAGAGAAACGAAAAAGAAAAAAAAAATAAATACATCCAATGATAATGAATGGAGGAGATCAATCAGCGCTGCAAATGGCCTCGTCACGAACTATGACTTCAGCTAAAATATATTTAAATAAATTAACAACTAAGAGTACGAGTTCATTGGTCATTCTTTTTTGAATTTTTATTTCTGAAATTCTTGTGAATATTTCGGACTGAAATGCAGTTTATTATCAGTACAAATGACAAGTAAAAAAAACCAAAAAGTCTATATATAAAACTATTTTTTTCTTTTCTTCCTGTTTTCGTTTTCTTTAATTAACATTGCAATGCACAAACAAATTGGTGCAGTTGCTGACGCGGATGTGAGCCAGAGACCGTCACAGGGTACTTTTTTTTATGCCCTGTCCTGTCCTGAAGATGAATCATAAATTTTCTTTTCGCTCTGTTCTCAGAACATGGCAGGACTGCTAAATTGATTTTCCTTATACAAAATCTATAAAATTGATAAAAATAACATGGTTGCTTTCAAATTAAGGATTAAAACTTTATTCATGTAGATTCGAAAAAATGTATCAATCAAACCCACTACAGAATTTAAAAACTCGCGTACCAAAGAACAACACTAGTGTTAAGACTGAAAAAGAAATCTATTTTTGATCAGCTTTTTCATGTTTAAAACTTTATCGAAATGTTACTATTCTAATACAATTATTTAATTTGTAACCGTCTTAAATCACGATACGGGTGAAACGCCTTTTTCTGAATTTTTAATTTGAAAACTTCAGTTGTTTTTTGACTCTTCTTCCCCTCTACAATAGTAAGTGTAACACTAGGCCAACCATTGGCACATACCATACTTCGAAGTGCGATACTGACTGATACTAACTCGTGTAAATCAAAATACCGACAAATTAAACTACCCTACCCGTCTGCCTCACGTAGAGGCGTTACTTCAGTTTTTCATTTTCTTTATAATAAAGGATAACTATAAATAAAATCTTTATCTTTATAATATAAAAATAAAGAAATTCATTATATTTGAAAAAGAAATGTATATATAAAAAAGAAATCTTTATCATTCAAAAAATAAAGATAGATATAATATTCATTTTATAAATATAAAGATTTTATTTATATTTATTTTATAAAATAAAAAGAAAGTAACATTGTTAGTCCCACGGAATAAAAATTCATATCGCTTTTCCAAAAATGGCCTTGTATTACAAGCTAAGTTATTGCCAACATATACCTGAAAAATCAAGGGTTCTTGAAAAAATTTTCTGATATTCACGTAGGCGCCTTCAGCAATCAAATGTCGGAATATCAGAATTATTACTGGCAAAAATACTTTTATTGGAAAAAAGTTATTCAAATTACAAAAAAATGATTTTTTAAGATGCGCGTAATTCAAAATTTGAATACCTTTTATTTTTAACTGAAACTTCCGTAACTAGATTCAGTTTTTTATACTGATCACGAATATCTACTTACTTTTTTTATATGAGCAAATTTTCATGTAGAAAAATGCTAAGCATTGTAAGAGTATAAATATCTTGAAAAACAGACTTTTTTTGTAAAACCAACCATAAATGTTTTATTATTCCAGATTGTTTTCTCGTCAATATGTTTTTTGAATTTGTCACCTAAAACTGAGTCTACAAGTGTTATTTAGAGCTTTATCGTATATCACATGTCCATTATATAAGAGTCAGGATAGAGTAGCCCAACCTAAAGTAATACCTAGTTTTGCAAACCTATCTAGCTTTTTCTGGTAAGTCAANATTCTCTCTTTGAAACTTTGAGCACATTTGCAAGCTTTTTGTCATCTACTGAACCTTTTTTTAAGGTTCGGTAAAGTACCTTTTTTTTTTTACTGTGTACTCGAATTAGATGTTACTTATACTTAACATCTGTTAGTCTCTTGCAGGCTTGCCGATTAGGGGAGGATTTCCCCCCCCCCCCTAAAATGACAGGCTGTCTGTCAAATTTTTAGCACTTTCTGCGAAAATTTTGCAACTTCTAAAGGAATAAAAGTGAGAGATGGTGTCGCTCCCTTTTCCCTGGTCAAAAGTTTTCATACCACGAAAATGAGAGCACTTTCTGCCAAAATTTTATACCCCCACTCCTGAAAACAATCGACAACCCTGGTCTCTTGAAGGCGGCTATCAGTCACTGTGACGATACATGAAGAGTATCTGTCATGGTCTGTGATGCCCCTGAACTCGTCTGTCACAGTCTGTGATAGGTCCCGGCTGTGTCTGTCACGATTTGTGACGGTTAATTAGTTAATTAAATACTAATTAATTAAGATGTCTGTCATGGTCTGTGGGAGAAGAAAGGATGAGTGCAAATTTCTATTCTATATACTTCAACACTCCTGTCAGATCGTATTTCACAAAAAATAAGACTACTATTTCCAAACCTCTGGTAAACTAAGAATAAAATTGTGTATATTTGCGCGTTGAGCAGTAAAAATAATTTCTTCATCGGATATATTTCTTGTTAAATCTCCATATTTAATATTATCACGAATTGAAACATCAAATAAAATTGCTTCTTGGGAAACAAGTGCCATTTGAGAACGTACTTCTTTTATATTCATTTGTCGAATGTCTTTCGAATTCATTATCTATTATCGATCAAATATAATATAAAATAAAAATACAAAAGAGAAAACAAACAGTAGACTTACTATACGTCCATGAGAATAATCATAAAATCGTTCAATTAATTGAATAGCTGTACTTTTTCCACATCCAGTAGCTCCTTTAATTAATTTTACCATTTTAAATTTCAACAAAAAAAAAATAAGAAGCAAAAACTCACCAATCAATGCAACATGTTGTCCTATAAATATCGAATAAATTCAGTGAAACATATTTCAACTACTTGATTTAATTTACCTGGTTCTATTTTCAAGGAAAAATTTTTAAAAATTATAACATCAGATCGATTTTCATATGCAAATGTAACATTATTAAATTCAATACCATCAAAATATTTCGTTTCTTCTTCATCATTCTTTAATAGAATAAAAACTTATTCATATCTTTTTTTTCTTTTGTCTTCAAAATTTCTTCTTACTTTTGATTGAATATTATCAAAGTCTTGAGATTTGAGATCAAATAATTTAAATATTTTCTTTGCAGCAGATCGTGCTTTTGCATAATTCGGAGCCTAAACATTTCAAATAAATACATAAATTTTTATTAAATCTCTCCCTCTCGCATTAGAAGACTTCTGATCTTCTAATATATCTTTCAAACTTTTGCTCATTTAATCAAATTACCATAGCAAATGATTGACTGACAGATACAGCACCAAATGTAACAATAGAAAATATTCTAGAATATAAAAATATAATAAATCATAGTAAAATAATCAAATGAAAATAAATTACAAAATAATATGCTCAAATAAGATATGATTTTTCCCTACTAAATATCCTCCAAGACTAAAAAGTGCTGCTTGAGCAAAAAATGATATTGAATTTGCAAGAGCAAAAAGTAATGCATTCAAATGTGATCGAAGTTTTAATTTTCTAAAACAAAAAAAAGATTTTATTCTTTCACATATAGGTTTTGTTTCTATTCAATTCTTTTACTTATAAGGTTTATCAATAATTTCTTTATATTTTTCAAGAAAACTTTTTTCTTCTGTCAATTGTACAACTGTACGAATATTTTGTGTTACTTGTGCAACAATCTATATAGAAAATATTCAAATATTCTATTTAGAAAAAAAAAAATTATTGATTTTTTTTCCGTTCTTACATTTGCTGCTTTTTCCATTGCAATTGAATCCATTTTAATAAAACTTGATAAAACTTTAGTTTGTAACCAACCAGATAAAATTAATAATGGAATAAAAACACACATTAATAATGTTAATTGCCAACTTGCATATAAACCAAGAATAATACCAACTACTAAATTAGCAAAATTTCTTAAACAAATTCCTAATAAAACTCCTGTTGCCTATAAGAAAAATTTCAAAGAATGAAATCGATTAATAATATCAAAAAATTTATTTAACCTCATGTACAGCTGATGCTTCTGTTGATAATCGTGCACAAAGTATTCCTGTACTATTTTCTGTTCGATCGAACCAAGAAACGTTTTGTTTTAACACTGTTCGATATGCACGAAGACGAAGACGATATGTTAAACCTTCACCAGATACAGAAAAAAAGAAACTCTTAAAAAAAAACAGATTTAATCGATGATTAATAAATATTCTTCATCATACTTGTAAAAACATTGTAAATAACATAACTATACCACAGACAATAAATAATATAATATAAAAATTAACCTGACGGATATGTTCATATAAATTACATTCTTCTAATACCTATATATTATAATTTCAATCATGAAAATAGATTTTCAAAGAATGATAACTTACGGAAACAAGTTTACTAAGAATTAATGCAAAAGTTGGTTCAATTCCTCCATTAATTAAAGATGTAATACAACCAAATAAAATATAAATCCATTCGGGTTTATTTAAAGTAAGTAATTTTAGAAATGAAAAATTGATTTTTTTCTTTTGTTCATTTTCGTTCTTAAAAAAAAAAAATTTTCATTTTCAATTCAATAAAATAAAACAATATATATGTTTACTTTTTTCTCTTCAATTCTTATCAAACTTTCATCTTTTTGTTCATCAACATTATTTAAATAATTTTCTAATTGAAATGAAAATTAAAATGAAAATAAATTATAATAAAATTTTTAACCTTGTTCGTTAGAAATATTTTCAAATTGTTCATCAATTAATTGTGTTTGTACAAGTTGACAATATTTTCCTTTTTGATCCATAAGAAAATCATGTTTACCCATTTCAACAATACAACCATGATCAAAAACAATAATATTATCAGCATGACGAATCGTACTTAATCGATGTGCAATGATTATTGTTGTTCGATCTGTAAATATTTACTTGATGAAATATTTTTGTTTAAAAAAAACAAAAAATTATTTTTCTTACTTAATGATGCTTTTTCAATCGATTTTTGTAATTGATGTTCACTTTCATTATCAAGTGCTGCTGTTGCTTCATCAAGAAGTAAAATACGAGGATTTTTTAATAAAGCACGAGCTAATGCAATCTTTTGACGTTGACCACCACTTAAATTTGATCCACCTTGATTTATTTTTGTTTCATATTGATCCTATTCATACAAATATAATCTTACATTAATCAAGATTTATCTCATGAAAACCATAAAAATACATCTTGAATAAAAGTTTCAAACAAACTATAGATTAGAATCCATTAGATTCAACAATTTCTGGATCCAGATCTAACTGATTATAATTCGTTGAACTCGAATCTGGCCGATCAAAATTATTGGATTTGAACTTAATTAATTAATCTTTTGTGGGTAGAGACTATCCGATTCAACAATTTCTGGACCCGAATTCGATCGACATAAAAATGTCCAGATCTGAATCCTATTAAGACACGGATCTAGCTAAGACCTGATAGGTTCTACTGCCATAAGACAGAGTAGTCTGAAAACCTTAACGGCACCCATCCTATCTCTAGATAGTGTAATTTGATCTAATGAACTTTCTCCAAAAGTTCATTACAACTCTTCGATCAGATACTATTAGAACCAATAGAAATTTTGAATAAATTCATAGAATTTAAGTAGGAAAATCAATAAGATTCACTGATTCGTCTTAAATTCGTACTAGTGTTGGCATTAGGTTCGTCACTAAACATGACTATTACCGTGGTAAATCATCAGTTTTATAGTGATTCTCATCACATGGATTCTTACTCTGATTGAACTCTATGTGAATGAATCAAACTCTGATAGAATAAAAAATTTAAATAACTGCCTTAAAAATTTTTCTAATCTTTAATAACAAAATTTGTTGATTTATAACTTCTCAATTGTTCAAATCTAAAGAACCGAATGAAACATGTTTATCTAATTTATCTTTCATCTTAATAGATCTTTTCTTTTAATTCGAAATTTTTCGTATTTATTTGGAAATCATACCTTAGATAAATTCATAATAGTTTCATGAATACCAAGATTTTTACAAAGATCAATAATTTGACTATCTGTTGCTTGTTTATAACCCATTCGAATATTTTCTATAACAGTTGTTTCAAAAAGAATTGGTTGTTGACTAACAACACTTATATGTTGTCGTAGCCATTGAATATTATATCTATTTAAATCTTGATTATCCAATAAAATAAATCCAGACCGTAGATCATAAAATTTTTCAACTAATTCAATACATGTACTCTAGTCATTGAAAAATTTATTAAAAATAAGAAAAACAATTAATCTAAAATATCAATACCTTTCCCGATCCACTTGAACCAACAATAGCAACTGTGTGACCAGCAGATATATCAAATGAAACATTTTTTAAAACTGTTACAGTCGGTCGAGATGGATATGCAAAATAAACATTTTGAAATATTATATTTCCTTTAATCTTTGATGGTTTAAGTCCTTCAGAAGATTCTTCACGATAAAATTCTTTTTCAGTATCGATTATTTTCCAAATTGAATAAGCACTTCCTTTAGCTGATATAATCGCTTGAAAATATGGTGCTGCTCTTCCAAATGCAAACATTGAGTTAATTACAATAAAAAATACCTTAAAATATTCAAATCTATTGAATTATCCCGACATTAAGAGAAAGTCTGTCAGATATCACAGAATTTTTTTAGCTCAAATGAGAAACCATACCACAAAAACTTATGAATTCAAAATATCGGAACTTTCTGACATAGTTTTAAAAAATGCCGAAGGTCACAATCCTTCAACTTATTCACATGCTATCGATTTTTTAAGATTTTCTTTGCTTCCGTCCGTTACCTTGAGTCAGAGAACATCTCAAAAGATACAGAAAAAAATTCTCTACAAAATGAAGTACGTCAACAGTCATTAAAATAACTTTTAGTAATCAAGCGTACTTCCACAAGAACGAAGAAGTTTATGGTTTATGAATGTTATCTTGCCAGTAATTTGCCTGTTTGAGTCTTGACGTTCCAAAAAATGAATTCAGATTCTGAAAGCGCTTGAAATTTTGCATCTTTTGAGATATTACTCACAATGTAAAAAGATATGCACGAGTTTTGTGAAACACGATCTAAGAACAGTGCTGAAGTATATAAGGTAGAAATTTGCACTCATTCCCCTCACCCCACCCACGGACCGTGACATACATTTTAATTAATTAAATAATTACTACGCAATTAATTAGTTAATTAAATAATTACTACCTAATTGATTAGTTAATTAACTAATTAATTAACTGACCATCACAGATCACGATAGACCGGCTCCGAATCCATCATAGACATTTTGATTAATTAAATAATCAATTAACTAATTACTACCCAATTAATTAATTGACCATGACAGACACACTTCGAAGGCTATTACAGACACGCTTCGGACCCATCACAGACCGTGATAGACATCTTAATTAATTAAATAATCTATATATATAATGTTCAGTGTCTGTGCCGGGTCAAAGATTAATGGTTGAATAAGGCTATAAGGGAGTAAAGCGCTATAAAGAGTAAGGCTATAAAGAAGTAAGGTAATAAGGAAGTGTTATATCTTCTTTCTTTCTTTTGCTATCACTGAGACAGCAACATGATGCTATGACAACAGAACGGAACAAAAGGATACTCCTCCCGAGGGAATCGAACCCATATCTTCTACTTTCCGAACAGCCGTATTAACACTGTACTAGAAAGGAGTGTTTATTATTCTTTTAGTTCCGTCTTATGACTGAAGGAGAATACTTTAGACATAACAGAGAGTAAAACTATAAGGGGGAAAGCTATCGAGAAAACGCTATAAGTGGGTAAGACTGCAAGGGCTACAAGAAATATAAGATTACAAGACCATAAGGCCACATGGGCTATTAGTAACATAAGGATATCACACCGTAGGGTTTCTATGTACATAATGTCGACTGTCTGTGTGTCACCGAGTGAAAGATTAAAGGTTTGAGGTCTAGGGATGCACCAGTACCAGTAACTGGGTACTTAGTCATTTGATGTTTATTAAAATGAATCCAGCTTTTTATATTTATCATTTCAGTATCGATCTTACTGGGAACATTTTTCTAAAACAAGCTGTTATAGAAATCCATTATCTAGAAGGATTATCTATAGCAAAGAAAATAATTCAATAGATGATAATAAACGAAAACTATGCCTGAATAGATAGCTCACAAAAGTTTAATGAAGACATATGAAATTTATTTATAGTATTCTAAATTATAACGATCGATACATAGAAATATATGATTAGTCAATGGATTCAATGTTATAGTTTGTATTAGTACTTCAACAGTGTAAGAATCACTGTATGGCAATATACTAGAAAAGAAGAAAATACTACTCGACTAATGGACTAAAGATCAAATGATTGAGTATCAGTCGTGACTAGGTTCCAGTAAATGACTGGGACCCAGTTCACCAGTCAGGACGGGGACTGGTGCATCTCTAATTGAGGTCATATCTTAAAGAAAAGAAAAGATGCCGTGCAGTATGCACGAGTTCTCGCTAGTTAACTAACTAATTAGTACCTAATTAATTAATTGACCATCACAGATCGTGACAGATAGTTTTAAGGAGCTATCGGAGATCATGTGTAACTAATATCTAATCGGAATATATATGGAGTATTTGCTTGTCGAAGTTCTATACTCTAAAATAAGCAATGATTGAGAAATATGCCCCAATATGTATCAAAAATGATCAGTTTTCAGGGGATTAAAAGTAATATCTAGATCGTGTTTCACATTTTAATCTTGCACAGATTGCGCTAACAGTTTTTTAATAGGAATCACAATTGTGATGTTACGTTGCAAAAACTTTACAAAGCTATTAATACGATTTCGTATTTGAGGTAAAGAAGAATCCAAAAAGAAATTTAGCGACGGTCAATTCTATGTTAGTTTCGGTGGTTTTTTAATGGATTCTCATTATTTACCATGAGTGTTTCACCAATAGTATAATTTTCTCTACGAATTAATTTCGCTCCAAACCAAAATCCTAATGCATCAGCACAAAATACAACAAAATAATCAAAACCAGTAACTAAACCAAAAATTGCACCCATTTTTATGCCATTTTTTCGTGTTAATTTTAATTGTTGTTCATATCTATTCAAAAGAAATTTTCAAGATTTTTTTTCTTTCTAATAAAAAAAAAAGAAAATTGTTTACCGTTTTAATTCAAAATCAGATCCATTAAAAGCAAAAACTGTTTTTATTGCAGCAAGTACTTGTTCAGCTAATTGACCGGCTTGTGCATAAATTTGTTGTTCTTTTGATGCCATCCGAGCACTGATCTGTTTTAAGAAGAGAAACAAGAAAAAAATATATGAAATTAGGGAATTCAATTCAATCAATAATAATTACTTTTGAATAAAGAACACCAGAAATAGCAAGTAAAGGTGACATAGATAAAATAACCAATGTTAATTTCCATCCATTAACAAAACCAATAATCAATCCCGTTATAAAACTTGATAAATATTGTAAATATGAGCCAAATTTTTCACCAATTCCATCATTAATTTTACAGATACCACTAAAAAAAAATGAGAAAATTTTTGTTCCAAATATTTAATTTAGTTGAATAAAACTTACTCTGACATTAATGTTGTTAGTTTACCTGGTGAATGTTTATCAAAATAGGATATATTTTTATTACAAATAAGAGATTCAAATGCTCGATATCGTATTCTACGTGTTTGTTTTTCACCAGACATTGTCCAAAATGATGTTTGAATGTAAGCACATAAAAAAGTTCCAAGACCAATTACTTAAGCAAAATAAAAGCATTCATGAAAAAAAATGATTTGCAAAAAATTTGCATTTGAACACATTGTTTTTCATCATTTCGCATGTTTTCGTTAGACTTTAAACGTATTTATTCAAACGCATTGATACATATCTTTTTTCTCTACAAAAGCTTTTTCCTATTTGTTTATCCATATTAATTATTTTATTAGATTCATACTTTTCTAGAAGTCAAAATATAGTCCAACAAATCAGAACTGTCAATAGAACACTTTTTCCGACCGAACCCAATGGAAAAACCAAGACGACTGATGTTTCTACCTTTTTAAACTCAGTAAATTTCGTAATCTTATTATAATGTATCATTCTAGTTTAAGTTATATACTTAACTAGGAAGAGCCCGTGCATATACTGCACGGATGCTTTTTTTTTCTTGTAAAGTTTCATATCTGTCCTTTAGCCTTGATTCGGTAATAGACAATCAGACAGTTTGCATTATATATAGAAACCTCATGGCCTTACCCCATTATAGCCTTATACTTGTGTGGTATTACTTCTTATAGCCTTATTCCGTTATTCCCTTATCCCTTAAATCCCATGCATCCTCATCCACTTATCCGCTATACTCTTATCTCCTTATACTCTTTTAGATTTATCGCTTATGCTCCTGTAGCTTTAGCCTCTTATCCCCTTTACCCTTATATCCTTATCCTCTTACCAGCTTATAGCCTCATATTTATGTAGCCTTATCCTCTACCCTGATAGCCCTTGTGGACCTATGAGTGTCTCCATATAATAGTCCTTGAGAACCTATGAGTACCTCCATATAACAGCTCTTGAGGGCCTATGGGTACGTCCATATAATAGCTCTTGTGGACCTATGAGTACCTCCATATAATAGTCCTTGAGGACCTATGAGTGCCCTCATGTAACAGCCTTTGAGGACCTATGGGTATGTCCATATATCACTCTTAAGGGCCTATGGGTATGTCCATATAATAGCTCTTGAGGACCTATGAGTAGCTTCATATAACAGCTTTTGTGGACCTATGAGTACCTCCATATAATAGCCCATGAGGACCTATGAGTCTCCAGTAGCATTTGGCGCCTTCCTCTTATATCCTTATTTGACCTTTGACCTTTAACCCGGCACAGAGAAACAGACACACGCTGAACATTATATATATACATTTACTTTCATGAACATTAAGTTCTTGAACAAAATAGTGAATTAAAAATATTTTTCATACAAAAAACACTAGCTTTATCGAAATGTTTTTGGAATCTATCAGCAAATATTTGACACATATTTAGAAAAAATCTAATTATGATAGGAAAAGAACATATGATCAGGCATACAACGAAAAGATAAAAGGACGTGGGTGATTGTGTGTCAAAGATGTCTATTGCGACTGGAAATGTTAGAGTGCTTTTGTCGTCGAATCGGAGACGGTCCGATCAAAGAAAGGAATGTCGAATGTGTCACTACCTAGAGTCTATCAGGTTCAGATCTGGAAATTAAGTGTTGATCGAGTTCGTGTTGAAAACAAACTTTGATTCATATAATAATATTTTTGCTCGTTTTATTCAAACAACCATAAATTTATTCATGGAAAAGTAGAAAAAGAAATAAGAAAATTCTTCCTGACTATAATGTCTAAACATAGTTTCCCTCATCGTGAAATCAGACCATATATTATCTGGTTCTGCACTATTGTCTTTATCTACAATATACTACACATCGAACAGAAAACAATAGAAAAGTATATCATATTTTCGGAGTAGGGGTGCAAAAAAACTAGAATAGATTTGGAATTTGGGACCAAGGGCTTGTGGATTCGGAGCTTGGATTTGAATGTCAGCAACAACGATCTACTTGACTAAGTGTGCATCACAACCAGAAAATGAGTTTTGAGTTTAGGATCTAATCCAAATCCAAACACTAAGAATTTTGGTCCCATACTCCAAAATCATTTCTGGTTGTGATGCACACTTAGTCAAATAATTTATTGCTGCCAACACTTTGTCTTACCAAGCTTTTGAGATTTGGGTCATTAGACTCCATGGCCAAATCCAAACCTAAAATAGCATTTTTTTTTCAAAAAAAGCTGTTTTGTACAGGTTTTCGTTTTTATGTGTTTCATCTGATGTATAAGTCAAATGCAAGGAACTGAAGAAGGAAGATAAACTTTCCATATAAAACACTACATTATATAACGCTATAGGAGATCGATTATATCGAGTTGTGAGTCAGTCACGTGTACCCGAAATCAAGTCTACTGGTCTAATTTGAAAAGCAATTAACTATTAGGAAAATAAGAAACACAACTTCGAGAGAGAGCGAATTTTATCGTTTAAACAACCTTCTCTCTTTTGATGAATCGATACAATTTGATATACTACCACTATGGGTAGTATGTTCATGTTGATCTCTTATCTGGTAACAATATCTGATTTTTTGTTTCCCTTTGTAATAAATCCTTGAAATTATAAAGAATTTCTCGTTTTCAATCTGAATATATTCTTCAAAATAAAAGATCAACTGTAAGTAGTTATGTATACATACAAGCAATATATATTGAATAAAGTTGTATTTTATTTGAAAATTGAACATCTGCTGGAATCATTCGATTAAATTGTGTATAATTACATTTTCTGAACAAAAAATAATAATAAAAGAATCAATAATTTGTTAATATTTTTGAAAATAATGAAAAAAAACATATATATATATATATTACTTATATTGTTGTCGAAAATTGTCTGCTGTTAAATGAATATTTTCTGGACAAAACAATTGACTAATATTATCAAAATCAATTGAACAAAGATTGAAATCATTTGCTGTAAATGAATCTGTTATATGACCAAACATAAACCAAAGTAATGGAATCGATGCACCATGTCCAATAGATCCGATTGCTCCCAAAACCATATAAAACCAATCAAGTTTAATTGCAAAGCGAAACTAAAATATATTTTTCATTTTTATTTGTTTTTGGAGAACAACAAAATAAGTTTTTCTTTTTCTTTTTCCATTCAACTTACTAATTCATGGAAATGAACTACTTTCTTCATGTTCTTCTTCGATGTTTTGATAATATCGTTTGATAAATCCTTTTCAAGATAACCATTAGAGTTCATTTCGTTTGTGACGAAATCATTTTTTGAAGTCATTTGATATAGAAAATAATTTCTTAGTTTGATAGTAGTATCTATAGTATCGTTTGAAGATAATTTTATTTCTACTTTTATTTATTAAATGTAATATGTAAAAATATATGATAACTAACGTTTCGAACGTAAAATGTTCTTCTTCAAAGTGAAAAAAAATTGTTCTGAAATAAGAATAAACTATGACTGAACTTGCTTTTTTTCTTAAATATATTCTTCTTCTTTATTCTTTTATCTTTCTGTGAAATCTATTTAAAACTGGCACGGATGAAGAAAATTAATGTGTCACGTACAAAATAGCGTAGTCAAAAAGTTCTTGTAATAGTACTCTAAAATTTTATTTTCATCGGCTTGAGGGTGTGGATGTGGATGTGGGTGTGGGCAAATTAAGGGAAGACTCACACCGACACCCATCCCACACCCACACCCACACACGCACATCGCCACCTACACCCGCATCCACACGCACACTCACACCGACACCCATCCTACACTCGCACACCCACACCTACACCCACACTCTAGGTCTCAAGGGCTATTATATTGGGGCACCCATAGGTCCTCAAGGATCATCCTAGGGGTATCCATAAATATCCTCAAGGGTCTATTATATGGGGTACTCATAGGTCCTCAAGGGCTATTATATTGGAGCACCCATAAGCCCTGAAGGAAGTAAGGCAATCTATATATATAATGTTCAGTGTGTGTGTTTTTCTGTCCCGGGTCAATGACCAAAGGTTAAAGGTCAAATAAGGTTATGAGGGGTAAGGCTTTAAGGAAGAAAGACAGTAAGGGGTAAGGCAACAAGAAGATAAGGCTATAACGGGATAAGGCTATAAGGGGAGAAGAGTATAAGAGAGGAACGCTATAGGGAGTTAAGGCTGTAATGAAGTAAGGGGATAAGGGGATAATGCTATAAAGAGGTAAGGCTATAAGGGGTAAGGGTACAAAAGGATAACGGAATAAGGAAGTAAGGCAATGAAGAGATAAGACTATAAGTGGGTAAGACAATAAGGAGACAAGATTATAAGGGCCTATAGAGGGTAAGTCTGTAAGGGGTAAGGATGTAAAGGAGTAAAGCTATAATGCAGTAAGGCAAGAAGTAGGTATGGGTATAAGGGGTAAGACTGTAAGGGGAAGTAGGCTATAAGGAGGAATGCTATTAGGGGGTAAGACTATATGGACATAAGGGAATACCAAGGTAAGGGTAGGAAGGGTAAGGCTATGAGAAGGTAAAGCTTTAAGCGAGAAAGTCAATGAGCAGATAAGGCTATAGAACAGGGTTGGCAATAAGGGGATAAGGCTATAAGGGAGGAACGCTATAAGAGGAGAGCGCTCTACGAGTTTAGGCTACAAGTGATAAGGCTGTAAGGCCGTAAGATTACATAGGGTGTTAGTAATATAAGAATATCATGCCGTAGGGCTACTATATACATAGTGTCGAGTGTCTCTGTGTCTGTTACCGAATGAAGGGTTAGAGTTTTGAGGTCGTGCGTTAATGAAAAAAACGCTGCCGTGCAATATGCAGGGACTCTCGCTAGTGTAAGATATTGTTCTCAATCTTAATTATTTTCAAGAAAAAAAAACCCTATCCATGTCACAAAAACTGGATCATTTTTAGTGGTAAATCGTGGTTTACCGGCAAAAATCCCCGGTTAACCGTTAAGGCGCCGGCAAATTGGAGAAAAGTAACGGTTAACTAGAAAAACCCGCAGTTTACCGAACAAAACTGCTGCGTAATCGCCGTAATGAAATCGGTAATCGAGCCGGTAAAACAGCAGGAATCTGATGGTTTTTACCCCGATTTTTCACTATGTAGGTAAGTTATGGTTCATCTATCATGCACGCCTGGCTTTGCTCTTTCAGACTTTTGGCTGTTCAGTTATCTGACACTTAACTTTGATACATCTTCGTCTGCTAAATATTTTGGTAAAATAATAACCAAGGAGGTCAATTCCTTACCTATTCACGAATACTGAAAGATCTTTCAGAAATGGATTGACTGAATGAAACTTTGTATTGAATATCACTGAGACTACTTCGAACATTTGCTTTAACACAACTGGCAATATAGTTTTTTGTATGCATAAATATTTGAAAGTCAGAAAACTTTCTCACTAACCTATGTAGTTTCACCGTTTTGTTCGTACCAGTTTTAAATAGATTTCAATGGAAGATAAGAAAAACAAATAACGTTTTATGAAATTTATCTCCATATATATCTATATGTGATCAAAAATGAAGTGATGCAATAGGTAATAACATGTATCTGATATATGAAGACGGAAATGACTTGATGTTTTAATATGAGACAATTGACGTCATCAATTTCGAAGTAATCAAATAAATTCTCTGAAGTGATGTCATCATACTATCGTTAAAATAACATCATTTGGATTTTTACGTAACATTGACAAACCTGACATTCATCAGAGAAACAAAAGCAATAATTTTATTGCATTAATGTCATGTTTTTTTTTCCAACAAAAATGTCGTCGAAATTATTTTATTCGAAGGAAGAAGTACACAAAGCCGTAAAGATACTATTAATACTCTTCATGATATTTCAAGGACGTTGAATGATTAATAATAGAAAATGTACACATATTTTATGCTTGTTTAAGAACTAATTTTTCCTACTTGGAAGAATGTTTTACATTGGAAAAGGTAACTATCGTATATTTTACGTATTTGCATATCACCCCGGAGGGATTTTGAAGGGTAGGTGTTCGGTGAATAAAATTTTATTCACCGAACACCTACCCTTCAAAACCCCTCCGGGGTGATATGGTATCTGACATTTGCTAAATAACGGAAGTGATAGTATCATATTCAAATGATTTGTACAACGTAATTAAAACTTAATAAATATTATTCATAGTATTTTTATTATTTCATATATGTACTCTTTTAAATAAAATATTTTTGATGATATTTTTCTTTCAACAAGAGAGATATGTTCAGATTTCCAAAAAAAAAAAAAAAGGAAATTACCCACATTTTTGAAATGTCCATCAGTTCGATAACTATATAGCAGTGCAAATCAAAAGTTTTTAGACATATTGGAAATTTCGGAAATTACATTATTTTAGGAAATAACGTAAAATTTAGAATACAAATGCTTGAAATCTCCGAAACTTCTGAAATTTCCTTTTTCGCAAGTCTGAACACTGCTGAAACAAGAATGATGTCAGTGCAATAAAGGTTTTGATTTTAATTCTCAGACGAATGTCAGGTTTTGTTTTTTTAAATGTTCACTAAAAATGCAATCGATCTTATTTCAATGAAATAATTATAGAATATCTATATGATTAATTCAAAATTGATGATATGAATCATTTCATTTAAATGTAGGAAGTCACTTTCACTTTTTGAATATCCAAGTGTTTCTTCTTTTTTCTAGTACATATAGACCTACTTCCCTTTTTTTTCGTTATTAGATGCACGTCATCATTTATTGCATCGCCTCATTTTTGATCACATATATATATATAGTGAGAGAAAAAAAATTCATCAAATTACATTTGAAAAATGAATTCATTGAATAATCTATTTTTTCTTTTTGTATTCGTATCAAGTATAATTGGGAATGCATTGAGTGTTTATACTCATGCTGCTTTTGTTAATGATGTTCGTCGATCACAACAAAAGTATAGAAAATTACGAAGTTCAGTTATTTCTGATCCTAGTGAAGAATATTCATTACAAATGAACAATACAGCTTTATTTGGATTACAACCATGTAGTCATATGCAATGTGAAAAAATTGCTATTGTTGGTGCAGGTTAGTTAATGTAATGAGAGAAATTTTTTTATTTTTCTATTCATTTGAATAGGTGTTACTGGATTAACAATTGCTTATGAATTGACTCGTGCTGGTTATGAAGTTATTGTATTTGAAGCAAATAAACAAGCTGGTGGACGATTATTTACTTTTGATACAGAAAAAACAATAATTGAATTAGGTGGAATGAGATTACCATTAGATATTCATACATTAACAGATATTTATATTAGAAAAAGATTTAATTTACCATTAGAACCATTTATTAGCTCTCATCCAAATACTTTTGTTTATATTAATGGTATTAGATATCGATCAGATAATACAAGTTTTCTTCCTAATGAATATAATTTACAAGTTTATGTCAGCGAACAAAATAAGGCTAGTTGTCAGATGATTAGTTTCATAAAAGTTTAGTTAATCTGATTGATAGTTTTAATTGACAATAATTTTTCGTTCATAAAAGTTTGCATCTTTCATCGATTTGCAGTAAACCTTCGTTGAAAATCAAACAAAGAAGAATCTTCTTAAGTTGAATGTAGGCATTTACCAGAGATGTCCATGGCGGCAACGGCAGGTTTTAAAAAAAAACCATCGCGGCAGCGGCAGAATTGTTCTTTTTTGAACAACATTGAAAACCTGCATGAATTTAATAGAATTTCAGGGTTTACAAATGAAACACTTCGAGACTGAATGAATCTGATGGACTAGTACCAATATTTCTTGTCAAATATAGTCGCAGCAGTGAAATTAAAACCACTTTTTTTGAAAACCGCCGCGACGCGGCAGCTTTTTTGTGTACGGCCGTGGCGCGGCAGCGTCAGATTTTCAGCCGCGATGGATATCTCTGGCACGTACCGAGTCCGATTAGCTCAGGCTCGGTACAAACCTAGTTGAAAGAGCGTTTTTGTATACTCGTGTAAGTTAAATCGATGATAAGTAGACCTGCCACAGCTCATAGTTCTATGAGCTTATTCTTTTTTTTTCCGAAAACTGAATGGAGTGGCCAGAGAATTTTTAAAACAAATTAGTTGCTATAAACACAAACTGTCGTAGCTCTAGCGTAGTAACAGTGCTACGATTTTTGGTTATGAAAGATGGGAGCTGACGAGGAAACCTCTTCTGATATCAAATGACTTTTGGATCGAGACGATGTGCATTTGCTGAATAATAGAAAAGTCTAAAATGGTTTGGTTCGCTGGGTGTTCATTCTCAAGATATTGAAATTTTACTGGATCTTTCAACAAAAAGCTGTAGCCTCCTTAAGTTACATGTAAAATCAACTCTCGACTTCAAACTTCGGAGCGAAAAAGAGGGCTGCGCGAATACAAGTACAAATTGTACTCTGGAAAAAATATGACCCCCACAACTAGAATTTGAGAAGTTGTAACGTCACGTACTCTCATACATCCTAATGTACTGTAATATATGCTCCAATGCTGAGGAAAAACCTTTAATTTTCAGAACTCGTACTGTCTTGTACTCTCATATACCGTCATGTACTGGGAAAAAACCTAGAATTCGTACCTCCTCTCCCTCCCGTAGTCCCATGTACTATTATGTAGAGCGTGGGTGAGGAGGCGTGATTGTCAGTACATAAAACCACATACGAGTGCATGAAAATACAAATTCTGCAAATTCTAGGTTTTTCCCCAATACATGAGAGTACATGGTGGGTACAAGTTCTAGGTTTTTTCCCAGTACATGACAGTACATGATCACCCACGCACTTTCATATACTGTCATGTACTGGGGAAAAATCCTAGAATTTGTATTCCCATGTAGTTTCATGTACTGACAGCCACACCCACGCCCTACATAACAGTACATGAGTATACATGGAAGTACAAATTCTACAAATGCTAGACCTTTTCCCAGTACATGGAGAGTCATAATCTTTCCTGAGTACAAATTGTATTTATATTCGTGCATCTCTGACGGAAAAAGTTCTTACTGAGATTCCTGGATTGTACAAGTTTTAACTTTTCTAGTATTTCTTTTCTTGAGATGTAAATATAGGGATAAAATTTGTTTTTACATATGAGAGAATTTCGAATATTCAACATCTCAGAATAGAAGATATTAAAAAGGTTATAACTTGCCCAAGAACCAATCTCATTAAGTGCTTTGATCGCACAGAGTTTAAAGTCAAAACTCGAAAGTCAATTTTCCATCATACCTTTGTGTTCAAAAATGAAGTAAAATTTCGATATGTCAAGAATAAAAGCACGGAAAGCTAAACCATTCTAGCATTTTCTATTACTCATCATATAAACATCGGTTCGATTGAAAATCGATTTGACATCTGGAGATGTTCCTTCGTGAGTCTCACTTAACCCTTTTGTAGGATCACATTTAACAAGAGTTTTTAGAATTTTTCGGTGGTACTCAGAGAGTTTTAGGAGAGTCTCAACCATTCTTTGCTCTGCTATGGTGTCGCCACTAGTCGAACGACAAAAAATAAGTTTGTAGATGTTTATACTATCATTGAGTCATATTAATGAACATTTTGGAATCTATTGGTATCATGTAATATTGTTTATTGACAAATTGAATTGATATAATATACTTTTTACGAATGATCAAAATTACATTTGCGTAAGATATATCTAGAAAAATCATGTATTTTTATGCTTGACATGTAAATGATATTCTTATATCGAAAAAGAAACAAATAAAATCTTCTTTTCAGTTCCGTTTGTGTTTGATAAATAAGCTTATTTTATATATAAATCTATATTGTATTTTAGTCTCCATTTGATCGATGGAATGAAGCAGTAAAACCATTATTCGATTTATTTTATAATCAAGGTTGGAATGCTGTTGTTAAAAAATATGGTTCATATAATGTAAGACAATATTTAATTGAGTTTGGTTTATCAAATATGATGATTGATTATATTGGTTTAATGTTTGGTATTGAAACAAATTTATATACAGCATTGACATCTCATTTTCGTGATGCACTTCTTATTAATGCATATACAAAATTTTATCATATTATTGGAGGAAATAAACGTTTAATTGAATCATTAAGTGAACCATGTCAAATAAATTATTCAACATCAGTTTTAGCAATTCATCGAAATGAAGATAAAACAATAAATATAACAATTAAAAATTCTATGAATATAACGAATATAATGAAATTTAATCGTGTAGTTGTTGCAACAACAGCACCAGCTGCACGTTTTATTCATTATACACCTATTGATGAACAAGTTAAAAGAATGTCACGTGCATTAAGACAACTTCATTATGATTGTGCAAGTAAACTTGTTTTATATTTTAATCGTTCGTGGTGGCATGATCAAAATATTTATGGAGGTTCATCTACAACTGATTTACCAGTCAGATTTATTTATTATGATAATTATAATACAACAATTAATGGAAATAATCATACGGAATCTGTTTTGCTTGCATCTTATACATTTGCACAAGATTCAACATTATGGTCATCATCAACAATTGATCAAATAACTGATCAAGTTTTATCTAATCTTGAAGAAATTCATGCAAGATCAGATATTAGACAATTTTATCTTCGAACTGTTGTTAAACATTGGTATGTTATCAAATAGATTTCTTTTTTTTTTTCAATGTCAGTTTGTTTTTTAGGTGTACTGATTCATTTTCACATGGTGCCTATGCTTTATTTTTACCATATCAAGAAGAAACTATAAAACCTATTTTAATGGAATCATTTGATAAACTTGTTTATTTTGCTGGTGAACATATATCAACAGCACATGCATGGGTCGAAGGTTCGATTCTTTCAGCTTTACGCATCTTAATTCAATTACAACAAGAAAAATTTGATATTGTTATTGTTGGAGGTGGTTTATTAGCATTACAAACAGCTATTGAATTATCTAAACGTCAACCAACATGGCATATTCTTCTTTTAGAAGAATATTCATTTTTAAATAATACTTGTTTAAATCAATTTGAATCTTCATCAACAAATAGAGCAACAAAAGAATATTTACATTTTGGTCCAAATCTAATTAATGGTCAATTTAATTCAACAGATTTAATGAATCAATTTTATTTTGAAAATTTACCAACTAATTATCGAGGTCAATTCAATGGAAAATTAGAATTTCTTAATACAACAAAAATGATTATTGATTCATTAAATATTCTTAAACAAGACAAATATATTAATATAACAATTTGTGAAAATGAACGTTTTATTAATAATATTCAAAATCAAATAATAACTAATCGTCGAGAAATTACAGTTAATCATAAAATATTATTTCTCGACAATTGTTATTTAAATGATTATATTAAAGAATTACTTCAACCATTTAAAATAAGTATTAAGACAGAACAATTTCCTTTATTATCATTTCCTTTAAAACGAACAAATTCATTAATAACATGGTTATATAATAATCAATTACTTGGATATGATTCTAATGATACAAAATCTGAACAAAGAATAATTCTATTAAATTCAAATGTTACTAGTGCATTATCTTGGTTAAATGAACATGCATCATCTTTCATTGATATTAATCAAATCAACTATGAATCTGATTATAAACAAACAACATTAATTGATCAAGATCATATTATTGATTATTTACCTAATTCAAGTAACAGATCAATTCTATTTATTGGTCGAACTAATATTGATCTTTATCCAATATGGATTGATATTTTAATAGATTTAACATTGAATATATATAAACCAAGCATGTCTAACTATTCTATTCTATTGCCAAATCAATTTGTATCAAACTCTTCTTTTCAAATGTCAATCTCGATGAATATTATTTTCTTTTATTTTCTTTTATTGCTTTTTCTAATGTAAATCAATTCGAATATAATAAAGAAATTTCTTTAATTGACTTGATTTATTTTGTGGGACTCTCATATATTTTGAGTAAGATAATACTGAGAGAAAATTTTAGGTCAAATTTTTCTACCTGTCCAATTAAAGAGATACACAGCAGATACATGCTTGCAACATTGACTTTGTCTCCTTCAATTGTTTCATATGATAGACATATACATATTTAACTCCATCGAAGTGAAGAAGCTCATATATGAACTTTAGTTCTGATTCAAATAGTAACTAACTTCAGCTTAGCTCTTATATTGACGTAGCTTGAAAATTTTCACTAGTGGCTTGCCGATGGAGTAAAATTTCTACTACGCTAATAAAGCGTTTTTTAGTGGAAGGAATGTCGTTCTTTCTGCGAGCTGATCCCTTTTTAATCAACTGTCGATTACTCCACTAGTTTCTTATGATATCCTAATGACAAAGACGATTCTACAGGCCATTTAGTCCACCATTTGAAATACATCTTGACACTACCTATAGAATTAAAAAATCAAAAAAAAATTTCGTAACTTTCATGATTTTTATCTCCAAAACACCAAAAAAAATGGCATTTCCGATGATGAAACACATAAAAAGATCGATGTTTTCAAAAAATTTATTGATGAAAAGCAACATTTTAATTAAGCAAATACCGTGAATTTTATTTTTAATCAAAATCATGCAATGATATTAATGAAAATGTCTATTTTCATCGATGCGTTTGAAATACATCAATTTTTTGTTCGTTTCATCATTTTAATGCAGTTTTTTTTAATGTTTTTAACTTGCTGGCTATCATTTGTACTATCCTCTCACTTATCTTGCGTCTTTCTATAATTAGACCAATTACTTGAGGGTGTGGGTGTGTGGGTGTGGGTGTGGGTGTGGGTGTGGGTGTGGGTGTGGGTGTGGGTGTGGGCTGTGCCTGTGGGTCGGGGTGTGTGGG